AGCCAGCAGTGCTGGCTTCACCTCCCCCACACTCTGCCCAGTCCTCAGCACCAGTTGCAGTGAGCAGGACAAGGTAGCTGAGACCAGCAGTGCTGGCCTCGCCTCCCCCATGCTCTGAACGGTCCTCGCTGCTACTTTGCCATCATGGTGGCACTCCGCCATGCTGTCTCCTGTTGAACACTTGTAGAGCACTCTGATTGGCTGTTTCAGTCAGCCAATCAGAGTGTGAATAATACATTATGGACAGACAAAGGATTTTATAATATTAGAATAATTTTATGACATGCATAAAAAACAGGTGCGCAGTTGTGACCTTTTGGGTCAAAAGCAAGTGTTTTGTCTGGTCCCTGGCTGGAGTGGAGGATACTGCCCTCTTTGCCTTTTCCTGTCAGAGAGGTTTAGTAAGATTGTGTTGGTGACCAATCTTCAGCTCAAATGCTTCTGTCTTTCCTGTTCATTGTTCAGGGGAAGCCATCAGCAGGGTTTAGTCTATGGTTTTAGTTAGTAAGTAGTGAAAGTTCTTTTATATAAGAGTACTGTCACACTTTAATAGACCTTAAAAAATATACCCTAAGGTACTCATTTTATGAGTTCACATACCTTATTTTATTAGTATAGGAGATGCTTGCCATTTGTGGGGGATACGTTCTAGAGATCCCTGCAACTGGGGAAATCTGCGAATACTCTGCTGTGTTCATGAATGTCATCTGCGTTCATGAACAGCATGTGCTGCTGCCGGTAGTGGGAGCCCAGTGGCAGTGGTGGGAGCCCAGCAGCGGCAAGCACAGAGCTCCTGCAGATGCTGCTAGTGCTGTAACAAAGTGTCATCATGCTGTACCATGAATATTCAAAACTGCGAATGCCAAAGCTGTGAATAGCGAGGGTTTCCTGTATCCATATTTTATTGACATAATTTTAAATACATTTAATTGGAACTTCCTAACCCCTTCTGTGCTAATCACATTACAAAGGAACATTACAATAACATTAAAAAATTCCTCCACTTGCAGGTGATCCATCCAAAGCAAACATTATGCACTTTAAATGTCTGCATGGTCATGCAGGTTGCTCTGTTCAAGTACATGTAATGCAAGTGTAAACACTCATGCATAGATATGGCAGCAAATATAGAAAAGTCCAGAGGCTTGTTTGACATGAAGCAGGACAGTTTGTATCATGGACTGTCTCTGGTAAAGGCCTACTACTGTGCCCAGGAGGAAAGCTTCAAAGCAGACTTGAGTCTTGCTTTCTAGGGACTTAGGTTATTGGCATTTGGCTAAAAGCCAGTGCTGTCTAGGTTTATGAGAGTAGAAGGGAGCAAAACCTAGGAGAGGCAAATTGGGTTGGTGTTGTAGTTCTCTGGAGTTAAAAGAAATATAGGTGGGGAGGGGGGGTTGACAGGAACAACTGTTCAAATCTTTGAAACTGTTACCCTTAACAAAAGAAAATAAACATGATTTAAAAACTCACTGAATGCTTTGGAAGAGTCCTCTTACTAATTTTTAAGTCAGTTGAGCCTGTTATCTATTTTTTTCATTCTTTCACTATGATTACCCAGAAATACCCTTCATATTTTAACTGCAGGCAAGGACCAATATGTTGTCATTTCCCATGTACTTATTTGACATGCCTGTAATTTTCAGGATAATGTTACAGTTTATGGCATGTGGACCGTATATTGCTGTTACAAATCAAACTGTTATCTGGCCTACATCATTAAAGAGCTGTCAGATAGATTCTATATTATGGTTTCAAAAAAGTAAATTAATAACAATGCATATTTGATAATGATGATAACTTTGGAGATTGTATACAGGCATAGCTCTGAACACAGTCCAAGTTTATAAATTCACTTCTATATACACAGTGTTTCAAAAGGACCAGATGCAAGAAACTGCTACACATCTGGATGTACTTAATAGATTTTCGGAACAGAGAGTGGTCATTTAAATATATATGTATATCCATTGCACAGTTTGAAAAGGTCTTGTAATTTATGCTAGATAATGTTAAGCAAGGCACATCTCAAATAAAAGACTAAAACTTTCCAAATCTCTACATATATGTTGTGTACATTTAACTAAGGAGTTTGTTTTGATGCATTATTTCAGGAGTGAACCAGAAATTATGTAAGATACAAATGCTTGTAAGTAGTTATTGTTTACATTAACTTTTCACATGGCCCCATGCATGTAAGGAGAATATGCAAAACCCCTCATATGATTAAATGCATCTCTAGCGCATTTACAATAGTTTCCATGGATTTGTTACCAGAATAAATAGTACTGTTTATTGGGGCTCTGCGAAGCTTTGGGTGCTGAATCGATTTGGAGGAGATTCAGCCCAATTCGGTAGCTGAATCTCCAAATCCAAATCGAATTGGGGGACCAATAAAAATGTCTGAATTGTTTTGGAAAAGATTCAGAGAGCTTTGATGATTTGGGCAGTCCCCACCTGCTGCAGCAGGGAGTTGGAGCCAGACTCAGAGCTGGTAAGTAGGCGGTGGGGGAGGGGGGCTGGAGGAGTGGGGAGGAAACCATGGGGGGACCCCTGCCAGGCTCCATCCCCTGCCCACTGTCCCAGCCCCCTCATGGCTGCCCTGTCCACCCCCAGCTCCTGAACCTTTAAAAAAA